TCAATAGAATCTTTATTGGTTTTATAAATATTTGTCTGTCGTGTTTTGTTTTCTTGTGTTCTTTTTATTTGGCGTATTGTCTTACTTGTGCTTATCCCTTTTAAATTTAGCCGGACACCCAGCAACCCAGCAAACCCATCCACAAAATACGCCTAAGCAGCACTGCTTACGTAAAGTAACGAGTTTTGGTGCGATGTCCTTGACAGCGGACTTTTTAAGAAGCTTTAAGCCAATCATTTGGCGGTGTTTAGGGTTGGGGGACAACGTTGATGGATATACTCTGTGACTTTGTTGACTCACTTCAAGCGTAAGCCAAATTCAATCAAGGATCCTTTTAAATATTCCGCCAACTTTCCCGTTGCCCTTGCAATTGCACAAAGAGTGCTCGTTCTTTGTCGTTGGGCTTGAGCTTTGAGAGTAGTTCAAGCATACGATATTACTCATACTCATACGTACATCCGTAAAATTGTGAAATATATATTGGAGGAGTCAATTTGGATAGCTTTGCGGCACACAATTTGATTGATTTGAATCCCCCGTCAAGGCTGGCTGCACTGAGAACTAATCAATTCACACTGGACAGACAGAAAGACAAACACAACACTTTGTGTGAATCTGCATTGCAAATAAGGCAGCCTCCCAAATTCAATCAATTCGTCAGGCGCAACGTAAAAGTTCAGGGCTCAAATGAAAAATAGCATAGGAAATTACTTTGCGGTAGATAACAAATTCATAACATTTAATTACGTGCAATTTACTTATATGTTAACACCACAGCACCGATAACAACATTGTGCCGATGTTGTTTTTGTGTTTTCCTGTTGTTGCTTTCAGCACTTTACCGCTCTATTAATCGACCGATTGAAACATCTGAACGATTGATAGCAAAACCACCTGACAGACAGCAACAAGTGGCAGGAGTAGGCAGGAGGCAGCAAGGTGTTGGGGCGAAGGGGTGAATCAACTGACAGCAACTGGCAGCGTACTGCCATTTGTAATTGCCAAAAACGTAGTGGCCACAAATGTTAGCAATTTGTTAGTTGTCCGTTACCCACTGGTCTTTATGTACGTATTTATCTGGCAGACGGCTCGGTTTATTTACGAATGACATGGGAAGCACATCACATGGTTCCCAGTAGACACCATCAACGCACAGTCGACTCCTCCAGGGAGTGCGGCTAACTGCACGTGTCATGACATCAACGTGTTCAATACACAGAAACAATAGCAACAGCAGCAACAATGGCAACAGCAGCAACAATGGCAACAGCAGCAACAGTGGCAAACAGCTACTGAAGCTGCTCCAGTTGCAACAAAAGTTGACTGCACGTGATGCACACATGCAAATAAGTGCATGATTTGGATATGCGTACTTCCGATATTGATAATATTGATATGTGATAATAGCAAACAAATTCCAAAACATTCACCACGCATTCCAACATTTTATTCTTTGCATTTATCTGTGCCGTGTCATCAATTGAGTTATTTATTATATTTTTCGAAGGGTATATTTATGTACTATTATATATGTATGTACTTATGTTTATGTATGCACTCTCATTACAACTTAGACTTCTGCGCTGTATATATTATTGTAGGAACACAACGAATATCTCCTTTTGTTTTCTGATTAAATTTCATCAGACAGTCATAAATTTCGTTTATATCACCATTGAAAATACTATTATTAGAAAGTGTAGTATAAAGTAGGTTCAAGTTCAGTTTCCTATCCTGTAAGCCATAAGTAAATAACTGATTCGATCCATTTTGGCCAGCAACAACATAAACAGTAGACATACATCTTAAGTAAATTTTCTCTTAAGCAGAAAATTAAGAGTCGTATTTTATATCAAAATAAATAATCCCTAAATAAATCCAATAATAAGATAAACAAATAAAAGCACGTGGCAATAAATGAGATAAATGGGACTTAAACCTATATTGAACGTAGTCAAAGGAAAATAATTAATTGGATTTGGTAACATTAAACTTAAGCCAAAGCCAATTGAAAATAATTTCTTGGTTTTGGCTTCTTGGCCATTTCTCTTATTAACACAGAACGTCCTTGCCACTTCTGAAAAATACTAATAAAAAAGATGTGCAGCAAACACAGCTCGAATATCAATTCTGGTTTCCTTAGCGTCATTTAGTTGTAATTAAACGGAAACAAACGACTCGACGTCGACTGATGACCGTGCACAAATCTACACAAGTGAAATGTTTAGGTCTGACCGACTAGTGAATACCCAGCTAAGTATAGCTTAAATATAAAACAAAATATATTTAATTAGACAAACATTTCGATTTTATTTTAGAGTCATTCAAGTCGATGCAAAAAAAAAGTTTACGAGAAGAATATAAATAAAGCAATCTCGTTAAAATAAAGCTTCATTTATTTCGTTCTGAGTTTAAATATAATATTTAAATTAGAATAATGCGATTGCCATATATACTATATATAGTATTTTATTAAATATAGACTCTAAAAATAAAGTCTATATAGCACAATATTAGAAGATCTATAAATCACTTGTTTACTCATTACTTAAGCGCAACTTAGCTTAATGATTTGCTTTACTCAGAATATATATCATTATAGAATGAATATAACATGTATACTATTATACTACACTTAGTATTGTATTATGTAGACTGAAGTAAAGACTCTGTATCAACTTCTTTAATTATTTCCTTATTTACAACTTAAGTTAATTAGTTGTTCTATTTAGAGTAGATATAATTGTAGAATGTATATTATATATATACTAATTCCTATATTTAAATATATGCCTTGAATTACACATAAATGTTGTTTGATTCTTACTTACTTATACCTTCTTTAGGTATACCTTATGTGCACATGAATTACAAAAAGATAAATGGTCAACAGTAGCCAACTAATCACAGAGGTGATAAATGTTGAAGCTGAGCAATAGAAGAACAATCTTAAAACATTTTTTTAAGCAAACATCACATCACAATTGCGTTCATTCACACGTACGGACGGAAGTTTATGTTGCAATCAGCTTTCTTAAGAAAACTATATCTCGGTTCTACGTATTTGTATAGCATATTGAAACTCTGTATGTAGCGTCATAAATAAATGTATAATTATACCGATTATCTGTTGAAATTGTTGCAGTTATCGCAGCTACTGAGTCACTTAGCAGAAATATGTCAGAAGCTTGACTCTATTGCGCTGAGAAGTGTGCTCGATATCGCTGTTGCCTCACTGTGACTGTGAATCACTTGAAGTGCAGCAGCAGAGGTCGCTGAAGCATAGGATGACTGCAGTCGACCACACGCCGACACACCAACACACAGGGAGCACCCAGAAGCAGAGGCAGGCGAGCAGAAAGCATTAAGATAAATGCAGACAGTTTTGATGTTTTTTGTTAAGCATTTGCCAAAAAGATGGCGATAATAGCACGAGGCCAAAATAGAGCGAAGCTTCAGGCCAGCGTCCTTGAAGTGGGGCTAACAAGTGTTAGGAGCTACTTTGCGCTGATTTTGACAGCGTTTGCACTTGAAATTTAAGTAGTACATGGAGGGGAAACATATATATTCTATTTATATCATGACAATGTCGTTGGTCATCTGATTTTATAACTCTGGAAAACTAACAAAAAGCTGTTGAAAGTGCTGCCTGGCGTATGAGTTATGTGCGTAATGCATACGCTGTGGGTTACATAGATGACGCAGAAGTTGCCTTGAACTGCCACAAAGTCCACTGGTGGCACACAAGGCACAAGAAATTGAATTTGATTTGCCGCTCACGTTTTGCAATCAGATGTGCCTCTTGTATCCTTGGCAACAATTTTAATTTTCCTTGTCAGACGAAGAAGCAACATCAAATGAATGCTAACAAATCATAGCTGGCTATTTAGCTGTGGGGTGCATTGAACGTACATTTTTGAAATGTCTCGCACGCAATTGATTAGAGTGTAAATGGGATTCGAGGCGTTCAATTGTCTTAGCCGAATTAATTAAATCAATACGCGAGAGGTTATCAATTGGCCATTTACTAATTGTTCGGATATTTCGCGAAATGCCAAATGGCCAAATGGCATTTTACAATTGAACGAAATCGACAATTCCCCAGATGCCTGTTGCCTGTTGCCTGTTCTTTGAAATGGGTGAATTGAATTAATTGGGCGAAAGCCAATTACACAAAACGACGTCTAACGCAAAATGTTAACCAACGGCACGCAATCGGCCAGTCCTTTGGGAGCTGTCCAGCGAGAGCAACGGGTCGATTTGGCTAGGACCAAAAATAAATTAAAATAACCGAACGAGGCAAACGCTTATGACATGTCCAATGTCCCAAAGAGTCGCGTTAATTTGTCAAGCCTTTCGGACCGCCAAGCGATGATGAAGTGCGTCCGTTGAGCTGAGAGTCAGTTACCAGAGTTTTCACTTAGCTGCAACTGCCTCACACGTGTGCATCAAGGCCACGCAGTACTCTTCAAATTAAATGGAAAACGTTTTCATGCCATGCTACAAAAAATTGGTTGTCATCGGTTGATTGATGCCGCAGCACAGGGCAAATGGCAAGTGGCAACTTACGTTAAGCTTGCAGCATTGCATTACACCAAGGGACTCCCTGCTGCTCAAACGCGTTGCGGCAGACTTCATTCGCAAATAGCGGCAAACAAGCAATATCCTGACTAGTTCGGCTGCACGCGAAAAAGATACAAATAACACGATACTAAATACACAAAACAATAACGGTAAAGATAGTGCCAACAACGAAAATGTTGTACCATCATTTTTTCAGTTACCCCAGAGTAACAGGCCTTATCGACTTGGAGCTGAACATCGAACGTATTTTTGGCTAATATTTATCAATTTATTACACTAAAAAATTGCTACAATTACTCAGAATAAAGCTAGTGTTCGCGTGTGTGTGTCTGTGTGTGTATTTGTGTGTGTAAATGTATCGAACGATGATTAATATTGCCTGCCTCTCATGTCGTTTTCCCTTTTGTTTTTCACAGCAACAACAAATGGCTCGGGCGCACAGAGGATAAGGGACCAAGGACACCAGACAGAGGAGAAGACCGTTGGGAAACACACACACGCGGCGAGCATGGCGTATGAGCAACGTGCAACTGCAACATGTGCTATTTCTGTTTGTTTGTCGTGCAATTCGCGTCAATTAGGAAATTCACGCATCAAAACACAACATAATTGAATCTGTATGCGATTCCCAATTTAATTAATTAGTCAATTCGGTGACTCAACCCTGAACTCGGAACCCAATCCACCCACCCTACCCGCACCAGTTTGCCAGCGCTACCAACATGTCCGAGTTTCGATTCTTTTCGTACACCGACTTTGCATTCACCACAAATCGGTCGCAGAATCTGATTAATCTGCCGATAACACCGTATTATGCCGCACCCAACACTAAGGAGCCGGAGATCGAGCTGAACATTCCGTATACCGTGTTCGAGGTGCTCGTTGCCATCGTTAGCATCATTGGCAACCTGATGGTCATCATTGTGTTCCAAAGGGAGCGCAAGCTGCGTCGTCGTACCAATTACTACATCGTCTCCCTGGCCATGGCCGATTTCCTGGTGGGTTTACTGGGTGTTCCATTTGCCGTACTGGCCTCGGTGGGATTGCCAAAGAATCTGCACGCCTGCCTTTTCACTGTCTCGCTGCTGGTGGTGCTCTGCACCATATCTATATTCTGCCTGGTCGCCGTCTCCGTGGATCGCTACTGGGCTATCCTTTATCCGATGGCCTATTCCCGTAATGTTCGCACCCGCACAGCAATTGGTAAGTACATAGGGGGAGAGGAGACGGTGGCTAATGTTTCCATATTGACAAACTTTCCTTGGCCATTGTTGTGTGGCCCATTGTCGTCGGTTTGTTTCAATAAGTGTCGTCCTTTCATTAGAGCATCCCAGATAATAGTCAAACAAATCAGTTTTGTGCACATTGTTCTGTTTGCCAGCGTTCATTTGTTTGAGTTGCAGCCTTTTGTGGCAAGGCAGGAATCTCAGCAAACAACAGATTCAAAATAAGAACAGCAAAAGTGCAGCAGCAATATTTTGTGAAATTCCTTACATTTTATTTATGTTTCAGCAAAGGGGTAAATGGCAGAGTGAGTGTCGATTAAGGTCAGCATGGAAAATGGGGCAAGTTCAGTTGGTTTGCCTAACACAAAGTTGAGCAGAAAGTGTAATAAATTATCTGAATAGTAATAGTCTGCATATAGAATGAGAAAACCCTAAACATAAATTAATAATGAAGGACAAAAGGTTGTTGCATGCGTAAATAATTAATAATAATGAAATAATAAGATGTAGCAGATTGTTTTGATAGCTTAAAGTGACCTTAAATTGAGTTAGTGTTCAATGTAATGAAAATGTTGCAACTTGGTATATGTAAATATATGTACAATTTTAACTTTAGCTTTAATCCTGTTCCGTGCTCAAGTGTTATAGTATTGTAGATGTAAAACTTGGAATACTCACCAGCATCTTGAAGTGATACAGTAGATTAAGAAGTCACCTTGCTAAACTTGGTTTAATCAGTAGTAAAATCTGCTGATTTTGTGACAATTATTCAAGCACATCGCAGCGGATTACAAGAAGATATGGTATCTTAGGGAAATATATCTTGGGTTACCCAAAACCCTATATTATCTTTTGAATTTTTAGTTGCAATACATGAAGCTCCCCAAGAATAAAAAATGTTGAACCCAAAAACTTAAGCTTAGTATTATTCCAAAGATCAAGTGTATAAGGAACGATAGAAGTTGCACATTGATATAATAGAAAATGATTTAATTAATTTGTAGAGTAACACATGTATAAATAACGTAAGTCAAGCATTATGATGAACTATACAAGTTCGAAGAGCGTCGCCAATGGATAAGCGATTTTGGGGCAGATGGCATGTGCGTCATTTGTCTGAGTGCATGTGGTTCAATGTACTGCCAGGAGTGGCATCAATTGTCGCCTGACTGCTGCCAAAGCCAAACAAAATATGCTTGACAGGAGTCAGGAGTCATAGTTGTGGAGACAGAGTGCTACAAGTGCAGTGCATTTGTAATTCTCATTAGCAATTCGCCATTGACAGTTGCCAGTTGCCAGTTGGCAGTTGGCAGTTGAGTCATTTAACAGCGATGACGTCAGCATGTCAAGGACTATATGAGCATCGTTTGCGTGGGGCTTCGTTTTGTCTTGTCCTGTCTTGCTTATGCTAATCCAGTGCATCCCTTTTGCAGTCATCATATCCGTGTGCTGGGTGGCCGGCGTCATTGTGGGCTTTCTGCCCCTCATGGGCTGGCATGCGAATGTGCCCCACGATCAGGAGTGCCTCTTCGTCGAGGTGATGGACTACGACTATCTGGTGTTCCTCTACTTTGCCACCATCATCACGCCAGCGCTTCTCATGCTCGGCTTCTACACGCACATCTATCGCGTGATCATCAAACAGGTTTGTGCACTATAAACAAGAGCGGAACTAAATCGCCTCAATTCAAATCTGAAAACTTAATCATATTGGTCAAGCATGCTCAGAGCTTCTAATTTGTTGCATAGGTGCGTCAGATCGTGACCATGAATCCCGCCTCGGATCTGAGCCGGCGCTCTTCCACAGCCCAGATGCAGGTGACGACACCAGGTCGGCCCGGTCACACGGGCACCATGCTGCGGGTGTTGGGTGCGGCACGGAAGCGGGATGTGAAGGCCACACAGAACTTGTCGATTATCGTGCTGTTCTTTATGATCTGCTGGATACCTCTGTATACGATCAACTGCATCAAGGCCTTCTGTCCGGATTGCTATGTGCATCCGAAGCTTACGCTCTTCTGCATCATACTCTCGCACCTCAACTCGGCAGTGAATCCCGTACTCTATGCCTATCACCTCAAGGACTTTCGCTTGGCACTGAAGAACCTCATGCTGAAGCTGATGGGCGTTGACATCGATCAGCAGGCGGATGCCATACATCGCTTCTCGGTGGCCAGCCAGCATCGTCTCCAATCGATGGACTCCACAATGCGCAACAACACCCAACCGCGCATGTATGTGGGTGAGTGTGAGTGCGCGTCGTCTTCTTCTATCCACTCCGAGCGGTTTACTAATGAGCTCTCTATCTCCATTGCCTTACTATTGTAGATTCGCCCATTTGGCTGCGCCAGCAGCAGGAGGCGCTGAAGAACTCACAGCTGCTGCCCAAGTGCGGTGTCCTCAGTCCGTGTGTGAACAGCATCAATCAGACTGTGGCCGCCGCCGTTACCGTCAGCACGGACATTGAGCGCGACATGTGGAACATAATGGAGGCGTCCAGTGGTGCAGAGCTGGGCGAGATTAGCTACGAGTTTCCCAGTGTCAAACAGGAGAGCGATCACGACAGCAGCATCTCAATCTCGGTGCCAGCGACAGCGCAGCCAGCTGCACAACTGGCAGCGCAACAGCAGCGCTGCGACAGCGTTTATTCGTATGATAACCACAACTACTCCACTGGTCCGGAGGATGGCATCAGTCTGCCCGACGATCTCGAGTATGAGGATGTGTTTGTGCCGCCAAACGGGATCAACAGCAATCACCAGGGCATCGATCCTGTGGAGCTGCGCAAATCTTTGGCCTATGTGATGCGCGAGAAATTGCGCTCCGACACCGACACCGAATATTACAGCCAGCAGCAGGTGCTCCAGGATCCCACGTGTACTGAGTTCCAGCCCAACTCGAAGCTGGAGCGTCAGAGACCCAGCTCCACAAGAACTTCCCCCAGCAATGGCTCGTTGCCGGCACAGCTGCGCTCCAAGCTGCTCGCCGGCAACTCAAGTAGCGATCACTGCCTGCCCATGCCCGGAACAGGTGCCTCCACCGGTGCCGTCTATGTCATCGAAAGTGCCACCAATCCTCTGTCGCCGGGCTACAAGCCTAAGTATCGCAAGTCAACGGCTCTAACGCGCAACTCGCGAAAGAAGAGCCGCTCCTGCTCCTGCACCAATGATCCCAAGCTGGCAGAGGAAACGACTGCCAACTCATTGGGTCAACATAGTAATAATCTCAGCATTAGACAGCCGGAGCAGCCAACGCAGCCAAGCCATGAGAACTTCTTTAGTCCCCTCAAAACGGTGGGCAGTTTTATGCAGCATTCCAATCTCTTCAATCTCTTCCAGCCGCACACAGCGACGACGACGGCCACAACAACGACGGCAACGGCAGCGAGTCTTACGTCTGCTCCAGTATCCGTTCCCGTGCTTGTTCCCACCTCTCGACTGACCGTGGAGCCGTTGACCTCGACGTCAGTCTCGTCCTCGTCGTCCTTAGCCGCTGCCAGTGGGGAGAGTTGACCAATCGTTGATGCTCCTCAAGCGGCGGGCAAACTCTAGGCAAATACTCGCAAATCAAAGCTTTTAGTTTAAGATCTGACAGTGTTATGGGAATGCGTTCGTTCAAGATCCTAAAGATCCCACAGTTCCAGTCGATTTAGTGAATTATGCGCATTTATTTTCGACGTAACTATCTTTATTGTATATTAGTTTAATTGTTTGAGCTAATGTTAAATGTTAAGCTTAAAGTCAATTTAAGTTAATTACCACAATGTGCATACTCTTATTTTTATACATATTGTACCATAGAATACATGTCAACGTATGTGTTTAGCATTGTTTAGGAATTTCGATGTTATATAAACCATAAACATATGCATGTGTGTTTATCTAAGTATATCTTGGAACGTCTGTGACAATTATTTTATATGTGTAAATTAAATGTATAGTTGAGGATCAAATAAAATATGAATATACACATACATACATACAAGCATATATAATATACCAACATGAAACCAACTTTTTTTGTCTTTGGCATTTTTTAATACATATCGCTTGGAAATAGTGGAAATATCGCCATCAAAAGCATTAGGTATTTTAATAAGCTGACGAAAGCTTTGCTTGAGCATGTATTTTTTCGTAGGGTTGTGTCTTTGCTAATTTTAAACATCATGTCAAAATAACTGCTTAGAGCAGGCATTGAATTTTATGTGTTACAGAAAAACCAAATATTTTTTAAACAATGTTTTTGGCTTGTACGAGGCAAAATAATTATTTCTGCAGCCAATTAATTAGCGCTCGAGAATTTGAAAGTAGCGTTGCTAGAGGTGCAAAGTTAGCAAAGAAGGAAATTATCATGGACAGAAACCCTACGCCAACTGACTTAACCCTAGACGCAATGAAGAGCGTTGTGTCGCAAGCTTTTTTGGGTAAATTCACAGCTGTTTTTCCAAAGCTTTTCAAGTGCCAATGGAAGACATATGAAGGTCAGAAGAAGGTTAGTTAGTACATCATTTGATTACGCTCGAGGTGGGTGCGTTTTTTTCAGCAAATAAAGTAAAAGCAAAAATCAAGCGACGATTCATCAATCAAAACCTTTTGCATATACTTAACAACATTATTATTAACTTTAATATATTCTGTTTTGCGGTGTGCAGCTCTTTGCGAATTTCAACACAGACTCAAACAACATGGCAAGCCGTCAATTTTGTGTGGGTGGCAACTGGAAGATGAACGGTGACCAAAAGTCAATTGCTGAAATCTGCAAGGTGCTCAGCGGTGCCGCTCTGGATCCCAGCACGCAGGTGGTCATCGGCTGCCCGGCCATCTATCTGATGCAGGTGCGCAATCTGCTGCCATGCAGCATCGGCGTTGCCGGCCAGAATTCCTATAAGGTCAGCAAGGGCGCCTTCACTGGCGAAATTTCACCCGCCATGCTCAAGGATGTTGGCGTCGAATGGGTCATTTTGGGCCATTCGGAGCGTCGCGCCATCTTCAATGAGTCGGACGAGCTAATTGCCGAGAAGGCTGAGCATGCTCTGGCCGAGGGCCTCAAAGTTATTGCCTGCATTGGCGAGTCACTGCAGGAGCGCGAGGCTGGAAAGACAAACGATGTGGTTGAGCGCCAGATGGCCGCCTATGCCAACAAAATCAAGGACTGGACAAATGTAGTCGTCGCCTACGAGCCCGTCTGGGCCATTGGCACCGGCAAGACAGCCACACCCGATCAGGTAAGTTGTTCCCTCTAAAAAAAATGCCATGTTATTAATAATTACCTTCTTATCAGGCCCAAGAGGTGCACGCCCATCTCAGGAAGTGGCTGGCTGAAAAGATCTCGCCGCAGGTGTCTGCCAGTCTGCGCATTCAGTACGGTGGCTCGGTGACCGGCGCCAATGCCAAGGAACTGGCCAAGAAGCCCGACATCGATGGTTTCCTTGTCGGTGGCGCATCGCTGAAGCCGGAGTTTGTCGATATCATCAATGCCCGCCAGTAAACTCGGCTTGGTCCACTCTGGACTGGTACAAAAGCAGCTAAGGAACTGCCTACCCCACGATTAATGAAGAACTTGTTAACCTGATAAGAAACTTATTGCATTACGCACACTTTTGGATATTGTTGTCGATCGCTTGAAGAAACTCAAAACGGATAGCGCTGGATAATAGTAGTAATCGAATGTAATTCAAAATTCTTTGTTCTCAAAAGTCACTAATTAATAATTTATTCATTTTTGTGGCACTCATAATAAATTTTGAGTAGCTACCATAGGATTATTTGAATTACACTCATTATATTTTAAAATTTGGACGCTAAGACCTCAATATAAATGTTAGAAAAAACCTATCTACAAATGAGTTTAATTTAGCTCTAAATGGGTTAATGTTTATCTGAATGTACTACTACACCCAGTAGATTAGTAATATTCTTGCTAATTTATTGCCCGTTCTCTGGTTGGACTCTGAACTTTCATATGATTAAATTAACTGATGTGTAGTTTCAACATTCTTAACAAAGTTATAATCACTTGTTATAAATGTGTTTGCTTTCTTCGGCGATTCATAATCCTTGAATGCAGTTCGATAGAACGATTCTAATGCATATTCTTCTTCGCAAATCGGTACGAAAATCGGATTTTGCCGAGCTTGAGGTATTATTCTGTTAACAGTGTAATTTGCAACATAGAGTTTATTCTTAACCCTGAAAGTATGCTTTGCAATTGTTGTTTTGCTCAAACGATGTTTAAACATCGATGATGATCATCGACTATTGGCATTTGCGTGTGACTTAATGTGTGCCAACAAAATAAAAAACAATTTCAATTAATTTCTTGTATTTATTTAAGAATTTTTTCCTATTGTTATTTCAATTTTTCGCAGCATTCGTGCAATTTCTATATAAAAATCGGCTTATGTATTTATTATGTATTCTCGTATAAAATTCATCATTAGTATTCTCAAATTGAAATTCTTATTGAACACACAATGCATGCCAATAAAATTAAATGCTAAATGCAGTTAATTTTGAAGCTACAGAGGGAGTCGATCGTTAAAATGTTGGGTAGCAACAATAATTATATTAAATTTATTTTAAAATTTAATTTATTTTAAAAGACTTTAGGCAGGACTTCTTCAAGCCAGACACTTCCGATATGGGCAATTGTACTTCTGATAAACTTAGTTTCTGATCAACTTAGCAGCCTTCTCGAGCTTTGACAGTTCTGTTATCCATTTTACAATACACTCATATTTATTAAGCTACAAATTTTACTCAAATGCAAATTTTCAAAATATTTTACAAAATTGTAAATTGTAATTGCTAAATTGTGGAAACTAGTGACGAAAACTCATTCTGAATTTTAAGAATTGACTAATAAAAAAATACTATTATGCAGCCTTTAAAACAGAACTATTCGTTCGACATCATTGTGACTAAATCAAGTCTACAGCCCAACGATGCCCAGGAGAGTACTAATCCGTTCAAGTATTGTATTCGGCTTTTTAACAGTTCTATAGATGTGCCCCCAAATCGACTGTTCGTTAAGCATTTTCCATCTTCCTCATTGGGAGAGTTCGTTGCGAGTCCCTGTGAGCTCGTCGGTTCTCTCAGCGAAAGGGGTATTAGCGTAACCATATACGAGAATGACGAAATGCTCGGTTGCGGCAACTGCAAGTTATCCCCGTCGCTCCTGCGCAGGCTAGCAGATCAGACATTCAGTGTCAATGAGGTGGTCCCTGTCCTGTTGGAGAATAACAAGAAGCGTGTAGCTGAACTAGATCTTAATATCAAATTCAGCTCTACCCAGCCAGATCTTGAGTAAGTAAAGTAACCCAGATTGAACAACTTGTTCAACTTTTATTTTGCTTACTAATGCGAAAAAAAATTACTGCAAGAGTCAAATATTTTTAATAGCATTTATTTTTCAAAATTCCACTTCATAAAAAGATCATTACAATATATTTCAATGATATTTAAAAGCTTAAGCTATCAAATAAGATTAAAAACATGTCAGTTAAAATAAACTGAAACAATTTAGTTCATTTTAATTTTAATTTTTCTTTGTTTGCCCTGCGAAGCCATTAAACTACCAATATTGTTCTAATTAATTGAATTTCTGAATCCCGATTATAGCACTCGCTTATTGCCATTTGGTTGTTATGATGTATGTCGACCGCTGGACAAGTCAGTCAATCCGCGTGACGTCATTTTCACCTTGGGACGCTCCCACAGATGCGCGGCGACGACGTGCATCACAGACGAGCGCCTGATGTCTCATGCCGGAGCACCCTTCACCTGCATGCACAAAAAGATTGAACCAACTGGTAAGGAATGTAGTTGCATGGTAAAGGGCGTTAAGCCGCCACCAGAGCTGGATGCCGCCAAGGAGCAGGAGCGTAAGCTGCTCAAGAAGCTGCTCGTCGATCTGGAGATTGACAAGGAGAAAGTGCCCACGCCACCGTCTGGATATGAGCGTTCCCGCCAATACAAACGCCGCAAAGGCCACTCGAGCAGCGGTAGCAACTCGTATCATTCCATCGACAGCTGTTTGGATCCAGAAGTGAGGGATGAGAGACAGATACAGGAGTTGGAACTGGCACACAAACACGCACTGGGCGAGTGTCCAGTAATTAAAGCACCGAAAGTGAATGGCGTCAAGTATACGCCCCCACAGATCTGTCCGGTCTGCCAAGCGAACATCACCTGGCTGCCCAGAGTCTCCGCCTGTCCCTACTGTGGCTACAAGCACTACGAGATGGAGCCGGACAGTGAGCAGCCCTTTGATGAGACGGCCACAGCTGCAGAGATTGTGAACAATCACTTTCTTAATACCCGTGGCGAACAAAAGCGTTCCTCATCTCCATTACCTGTCAGTCTGACGTCCAAGGAGTGCACCTGTAAACAGGTTCAACGTCTTTGCACAAGATGTCGCGTTCAGGAACTATGCAGCACCACCAAGCTGCAATCGAAACTGCAGCCCAAGTCGGAGACAGTGAAGAAGGCGCCATCGACGACATCGCAACGATGCAAGGAGCTGGTGAAGATCTTTACAGAGATGCGTAATTTTTACAGCGACAAGAAGCTGGATAACAAGGCGATGACTGATAAACTCCTCAAAGATTGCGACAAGGAGTGTCGCAAGGGCGCGAAGAAGAAGCGCCATCGGCACACATGTGTCATGAAGAAGGCGCTCAAGGATCTGGAGAAAATCTATCCGAGTAAAAAACCAAAAGCGAAAAGTCAAAAGAAAAAAAAGCGACGTGTTAAATCAAAGCGGTAAGATTCTGCATAAAATAAAAGTAAAGATTCAATTCAATAATCTCCACTGCATTTAGATACACGTTTCTTGTGCGCAAGGACAATCTTCGACCAGAGGTAAAAACGCATCACAGTTGCGCTCGTGAGTTAGGCAGGGTGCCCTGCCACATGGGTTGGCTGTGGACCGCGAGCGAGCTGGGGCGGCACAGATGCTGGAAGCCCGGTGCCATCAAGAAACCCATACGCGAGATAATGGCCTATTTTCTGAGGGATTATCCGGCAGACAGAGTCGTCCAGTCACGCTTCCATTACCGTCGCCAGCTGAATCAGAATGCGGCTGATAACAAGGAACCCCTAATTCAGCATCCCACGCTGCACATAACCAAGCATCGTGATGAATATGTCGTCACTCTCAGACCTCTCAAGGAACCCAAGACGCTAGCTAAGGCCGCCAATCCGTATGAGAACATGAAACCAGTTGTCTTTCGCATCTGCAAGGATCCAATTGCCATGGGAAAACGGAACATCAAGCTGGCTCTCAAAGAGCGGGGTTATCCTGTGTGCACCTGCAAGCAGACAGTTTCCAAGTGCCACTGTCGCAGTCATATCGATAAAAAGATCTTTGCCCAAGATGTGAAGATGCTCAGCGAGGAGCAGGGATGGACAGACATAGGCGACACCTTCACCTACTCCGATCTCAGTGATAGTGACAGCGATGACGAACTGGAATTCGGAGTTACTCCACCGGCGGGTATCGTTAAACCTGAGCGTCTCAGGAAACCCGATCGCGTTAACTGCGAGACGCAGTACAACGAGAATGACTGGGCCATGCCCACCATGTATCCCCATCCGGCCAGTGCCCTGGTACAGTACGGCGGCTGTGTAACTGGGGAACGCAAGAATCGCTTCCCTTGGATTCTGGGCAAGGGCTATGTGCATCGGGAGCCCAAGCCAGCCAAGAAGATTAACAAACCAAAACAGAAAAAGAAAACGAAATCGAGACTCAAGGGTGGTTTTGACGGTGCTTTCCAACATGAATACACTCAGTATTCAGATATACAGCAACCCACAAATGATTGGCACAGGTCAAACCAAGAGCCAAGTCACAAATTCTATAATTATAATAATGGACCGATGCATATTTATTGAAAGAAAATTAACCAAAAATATGTTTTGTCAAATTTGAAAAATCCACATAAAAAGTTTGTATTAGCTCCATTTTAACCATGAAATTAGATGTGGCTGGATTAAATGGTCTGTGATTTTAATATAATTACTCTTATGTTTAATTTAATTCGGTGCATTGCTATAAATATATATAGAACGTGTGTTGACTGAAAATCTTATTCTGTGATTGAAATATTACCCAAATCTAAGGTATTTGGTTGCAGCAAAATTCCTTAATAGACAAATTTTATTATTAGTTTATTAGCTATATTGTTCAATGTGATTTCCACGTCTTTTTTTAATGTTATAAAGCATATTTTAACAAATCTTTCAATTCAAAATTAAATACAAAGTGTTCACAAAACAATTAAAAAAGGAAATCTAAAATACAAAACCAATCGTAGACTAAATTTTATTCAATTCTTGAAAAGGGTTAATACGCTCATATCCGGATAAGTCAAAGGCCCAAGGTGCAAAATAATATTTATTCGATAAGATAAATGTACTAAAATGTAATCCTTATTATAACAGAAAATTAACTTGAATCAAAGTGTGCCTTGCTTAGTCTCAATTCTAAAACCCATTTCGATTGGCATTTTAATCATACTCTATTGAAATTTCAACGCGTTGGCTTCCAGGCTCGAGCGGATAAAAATTTACAGCATTTGAAATTAGTTTTGTGTATTTTGTTTTGAAATTAATTGTGCAAATAGCGAAATAACACCTCATAGTCAGCTTAATTTATTGTCAAACAATGGCCATGTCACCATGTTGTTGGGCAACCAACGAATTGTCCAGGGATAAGGAGAACTACATACGTTGCTCAACCACACCGAAACCACAGGTGGATGACGGCAAACGGAATAAAAAGGGTAAAAAGGACAAGGATATGTGCTGCTCGGCAGCTTTTCGTTTGCAACAGGCCAAGGATGCTGAACAAGATGTGAATGCACAAATTGACCTGCAATGTGCACCCAAGGGCAAAAAAGGCAAGAAGACCAAAGCCAATCGGGATCGCTTTCGCTGCTTCACAGCGAACATGGTCTGCTTAAAGCTCTACATGCCCGGTCGGGACTTCGAGCGTCCGGATAAACTGAAGATCACAGCCAACATTTGCAAGGGCTGCAAGCCAGTCATGTGCGCCGATCGCATCAATGTCAACTGCATGCCAGCCGAGCCGAGCGCCCGATTCAGCATGCTCGCCGAGTGCCTGGACAAGGAACTGTCGGAGGGCATCAGCCTATCCGTAACATATATGAAGCGAGAGATCGGTAGGTTGACAAAACGGAGTTGTAGATATTCTTTGTCGTGAAGAGAAGTTGCGTATTGGCTTATTGGCTATCCGATAAATCTTGGTAGAAATCGCATTTTATTTTTTAAATATAATTATGTAGTTCCCGAAGCAACAATCATTCGAAAATTCCCTGAATTTTGAACTTTGGCACTAATGCAGATATATTTATCAATACTGTCGCTTAGGTCGTGGATGCTACGTCTTGCCCGACTCAGTCATACTACGGATGATAAACAGGTTTGAGGAGGTCGTCCACACTGCTGAAGTGGAGCTGACCTGCAATGGCTGCACCGTGGGCATGTGTACGGTACGGCTCTCGATGATCATGCAAAGCCAGACCATTGAGTAAGTAAGCTCCAATGCCTGGGGGTGCCCAGGGGAGCCTGGGGGGTGCCCAGGGGAGCCTGGGGGCCAACTTAGAAATTCAATAGAGTACTTAATGGACACGGCAATGGACCTTTGCAGCAGTGATGGGGACGACAACGATTGCTTTGACGATCCGATGGCTACGATGGAGGACAATTCACAGAGCGGTTGCACTTCCTCCGATCCGTGTCAAGGTTTTGGCACCTTAGAGACTCCGTCCGGAGATGATTCCTGCTCCGACTCCAATAGTAGGAGACACCTAGGTGGCACTGGGGTAAGTCGTTGAAATTATTTCAGGTAAATATCGGACGATTTGAGCATTTGATTGCAGCCATCAGCCAAGATGGTCGACGTGGCTGGACCCTATTCCATCTACAGCTGTGATCATCAAGATGATGGCTGCATAAGAATTGATGCAATTCCTAACCCAGGTGGGCAATTCGCATTTCCTGCCAGATCGCATTTGGGTGAGGGCAACACAAATCGAATGTGTCCGCAGATCTCGGCTCCGGAACTGAAACAGATGGGGATGAAGCGTGGACGCGACTGTCCCATGTGCAAGGAGGATGTTTCGTGGCTGCCACAGATCGCAGCTTGTCCTCATTGCGGCTACAAGCCACTGCCCATTTTCGAGGAGAAAGTCTACAATGAGGATGCCACCGCCAATGATATTCTCGTTGACTTCTTCGAGAACCTTGGCCCTGACTTCGACTCTGTAAGTGGCTGCCCCAACGCCGGTGAAAACCAGCAGCCATCCGACATGAAGACGGAGGAGGCCTTCGAGGCGATTGTGCAGGATTACACTGCTCTCAAGCATAGCATCAAGAAGTGCCACAGTGCCCAGCCCTGTGCAAGTGCAGCTAAACCTCCGCCTAAGAAGTCAGCTACAGATTTATTCACCATATTTACGGAGCTGAAGAAGATCTGCGGCGGTGCTGACGCCGATGCGGATAAGAAGAATAAGATTAAGGAAATTTGCCAGGAAGCCTGCAAACTGGCTAAGGTCTCCAAGAAACGAATTGGCAGTAAATCACCATCAAAAATTTCCGATTGTTGTGCAGAGCTCAAGAGGCGTCATAAGCAAAAGAAAGCACACGGATCACCGTGGAATTCAAGGCTATATGGGCCAGTGGAAACGTTGAATCATCCACGGAAAGGACATGCCCATTGCTACGAATATGAGAGCAAGGTGCCCGCCCACATGGGTTGGCTGTGGACACACAATCCACTGGCACAGCATCCAGGCTGGCGCCCCGGTGCCATACGCCGTTCCATACGGGTTCTGATGGGCTACTTCCTCAAGGACTTTCCAGTTGATAGTATGCCCATCTCAAAGTACAAATCGTATCACAATCAGAAACCAGCAAAGCCAGATAATCACAGCGAAAAGCCAGAGGATTTGGTGCAGGTTCCCACTCTGCACATTGAGAAGAAGAACGACGAGTATATTATCACGCTGCGTCCCCTAAAGGATGCGGCATCATTGAAACGGGCTGCCAATCCGTATGCAAAAATGAAACCGGTGCAGTTTCGCATCGTGAAGAACCCGCAGCTGAAACAGGTGCGCGAAATGAAACGATGCCTGAAGAAGATGGGCTTCAGCAAGTGTACCTGCCACAGGCCCGTGATGCGGTGTTACTGCCGCAGCTTCGTCGATAAGAAGCTCCTCGTCGATGAGGTGCAGCGCCAGTGCCGCGAACGAGAGATGGTCAATTGTGAAAATGAACTGGTTCTCTCCGACACCACAGACAGCGAGGCGGAATTTGATTTTGGGGTCACTCCACCGGCTGGACTGATGAAGCCGGAACGACTGAAGACGACCGATGTGACGCACCAGGAGTCGCAATACAATGAGAATGATTGGGCAATGCCCACAATGTATCCGCATCCGCCCAACGCCAATGTCCAGTATGGTGGCTGTGTTATGGGCGAGCGCAAAGGCCGATTCCCCTGGATCTTTGGCAAGGGCTACGTGCATCGTAAGCCAAAGCCACCTATTATGCGTAATCCACCCAAGAAGAAGCCAAAGCGAGCATTTCCCGGGGCACCTCTGTCACGCGAGAAGGGTGGCCACAATAGCAATGCTCCAATCCAGCCATTCACAGAGAATCCTCTTTATGATGATAGGCAGCAGCGTCTAAATCGAGCCGCTTATCCACCAACAACCAAACAGTTCCAACAGCAACAAAAACAAACAGTTGTGAAGAAAGTGCATTTTGCAGAGGAAAATGACTAAGGCCTTCCAAATTTTCAACTTTGAGCTTTGATATTTTTACATTTTATTTAAATTTCAGAAAGTAACAATAAATACGAACGATTTTTTAATTTAACGAATTATTACATTTTGTTGTGAAACAAAATTAGGAAGAAAAAAAAGAATGGAGGAATGGATATCTCAAATTAAGTTAAGAATATTAAGAATAGATTGCAGTAGTTTAAATTGAGGCAAAGAATTGAATAGGATATGCATAAGAAAAGATTTAAATCTCATTAGGCAACAGTTATAATTAAGTATTTCACAGGAAATCTTACTTATTAATTGTGTGTAGTAATTAAATTGACTTGCTAGAAGATAGGACATATTAAGTTAAGATAGGATTGGTTGCAACACGTGTTTGTATTTAGCTTCTGATTACTTTTAATTTGTTTTTTAGGAAATAATCGTATATTTCGAAGAGTTGAAAAACAAAAGAAATTTATTTCTTTGTTCTTGACTACAAAATGACTAATGTGCATATTGGAATTTGACATATGCAAAGTGTCTGTCTGCAAAGTATCTGTGTGCAAAAGTACAGATTGCAACCAGATTATGCAAGCATAAAGTCTTCTGACTCATAAAGTCTTTTGACTCTTACTTGGTGCAAAATCATTGGCACTCATTTGATGCAAATGCTTAGAGTTAACCTTGCTTGAGGCCCACAAAGCAAATACTTCCTCATTTGCAGTTGGCAACATTTTATTACCCAACTGCCATTGGTTGCATAAAATGTTGTTAATTTTTTGGAAAATGGTTTGTTTATCTGAACTTTGTGTCGCAGCGATGATATAACAATAACACTTTGTGGCACATACAATTACGCAAATACACATAGCGTTTTTCCACGCAATAAATTAATAATTTTGTTTGTCATTCGTGGCGCTCTGTTGATGCCACAAAACGATCTGTCAAGATTCACAATCTGGCTGGTATTTCCCTACATATTTTCTTAAACTTTAAACCATCAGCTAAGCAAATAGAAACTGTCTTGCTTTGCTTATCTACATGTCATAATCCAGTTGATCTGTGCCACATTATAACCTACCTCAAGGCGTTGAAAATCTCACTTCATATTTGAGTTATAGTTGTAATGAATTTGTCGCATCGTATCTTGATGGCAAACGCATGAGGCATGAAATTCATATAGCACTTAGATGACATTACATACGGAGCTTCGAGTACTTGATTTGGCTGACTCTACAAAGAGTTGTCCAATTGCGCGAGCTGCGCTCAGTGACAATCGAAGCGCCCAGCGAGCAGCACGTGGCAGCAGCTCCCAAAATGCGTCACAATTTGGCCTGCAACTTGGGCCTGCTGAGCATCTTCTTCTGGCTCGGGAACGATGAAAGCGCCGCCGGCAGTTCCAATCCCAATTATATCGATTACTACCATGGCAATGCGAGCGCAAAGATGCTGCGTTTCCATGACTTTGAGCCGCGGCCAAGAACTAACGCTGAGAATAGCGGAGGAGGTGGAGGACAAGGACGAGGACGAAGAGGAGGAGCGGGAGGAGGAGGAGGAGGAAGTCGTGAGGGGCGTGGCTTTCATTTCAGCGAAAGTGGCGAGGATGTCAGCGTGGAGATGGAGTTCATTGTGCCCTTCTTTCGTATACCGGTCAAGCGGAGCATGAAGCTGGCCCGTGATGCTGTCCATGGCTTACTTAATCTGCACACTGGAGCACTGCTCAACACAGCTGTCGTTGTGGGCGCTGGCGCCATCATTGCGGCAATTGTGCGTCTCGTTCTGGCGCCCATGGTATTCACCTCCATTGGCAATGGGTTTGGCTATAATGCCAAGCAGTTTGATGACACCCCAAAGAGCAGTCGAGGCAGTGAGTACAACCAATCTGCTGAAAGTAAAACAAATCTAATCCCGTCCCTTCTTCTAGTGCGTAGTTTGACGCAGGTGCTGGAGTCGCAGCTGGACGAGCACAGCATTGATGTCTCCGTCTGTGCCCAGCGTGCCATCTGTCATTACTTGCAACGTAATGCGGCACAACTGCAGAACAATCAGAGCACACCAAGTCCGGCCAGGCTCATTGATGTGCTGGCCAAGTAGCTTAACCATTTTGATAGCCAAACATGTATCACAGCTTATCCTCCCTCTTGCAGCTCTCGCTGGCTGGACTCTCTGCTCAATGGCACAGCGGTCTTCAGCGCCATTGATGTGGCACGCAGCAGTCGCAGCAACTGTAAGCACATCTATCGCAGTTGCAGGTGGCCACTATTTCAAGGCGAAGGCATGTGGCACAGCTCTTGGCCCAATATTTTACAATATTTTAACGGACAATTGTTTGTTTGATTTAATTTAATTGTTAATTATTTATTTATTGTTCCTACTAAGTGTTAATAAACCATTATAATTTTATAAGACAAATTTATTTTCACAAATGCATGAAACATGTTTTTTATTCGACAAATAATTACCAAGAAATTGCATTTATTAAACGGTTGGGATTCTTGAGAAATATACAAATCAAAAATATAATATATTAATTCGAAAATTGCCCACAACAAATAGCGCTAATTTAACATGAACTAATAATTTATATACAAAATGAAATAAATATTTCGTACTAATTAAAAATAATTAAATAGTATTTCAAGGGAATCATGGAAATCGATTTAATTTTTGTTGCATACAAACTGAATTTTCAAATATTATTTTTAATTATTAATGCAAGGAAATCATGGAAATCGTATCAATTATTTTTAAGTTGTAAATATTTAAATTCTTAAATATATAATTAAATAACCAACGTTACACACATATTTATTGATTATCTAATTTCCGTGCGCTTTTTATTGTATTAATGGAAATGTAAATATCATAATCATTATCATTATGGGAATTTTCACCGGATAGACTCCAAATGTAGCATTTGCAAACATTGACAGCTGTTTCCTCAAACAAATCGCATCGCACCTTATCCCAATTGTGGCTTGCGTCACGCATGCGCCACACGCGACTCGCAACTCGCAACAGCCATTTGTGTGGCAGCGACTGAACAAATTATCACAGCCAAGAGGCAACGAAGCGTCGACTGGCAAATTTCGGCGACGAAACGTAACTAAACTGGGCATAGCAAACACAATGGGTTTTAAATCTGTGGCAGCCACCCAACGAAGCAGACCTAAAAGGACGGAAGCATGCAGCACTTATACCAAACCTTATCCATCTTCATCCTGGCCAGTTGCGTGGCGATTTGGGCGGCCAGCGAGAAGGAGGCAGAAACTAGCTCTAGTTCCACAACTGCTTCGAAATGGAAGGAGCAAAAAAATGTGCAAAGACTGCGTCTAATATCCTTTGACACTGTTGATAAGGACATTGCCCTGGGTCTGAACTATCTGATGCCATTTGTCGAGGTGCCCGTCAAGCGGAAACGAAACGCACCACCCAGAGTAATTAAAAACGAATTGAATATTCATATTGATTTATTTGATAATAAGAAAGAAAAATATTTTTTTAGACTTCGCCTTAAAAATCGTTTTATTGTTTTCAGCCACTTGTCATTGTGAATTCCGCAGCCATCTTCAGTTGTGGTTTACTTGCTGCCAGCGGACTGATCGTAGGTCATTTGATACGTAGCATGAGTCTGGAGAACATTGTGCCGGATTCAAAATCGGAGCAGTCTTCCAACCACAAAGCACGCAGCCTACTCGATGAGGAGCAGAATTTTCTGCAGCTATTCGATAACTTTAAGCTGGTTTATCGCAATACAAGCGGCGATCGTGTGGGTAAGTTTCTAAACTTCAGATTACTCCATGTGATTCACGCTGAACACCGATCCTCTGCAGAGACCGGGCTGCCCAGCTTAATCGTCACCATGGAGCGCACATTTCTGGAGAACGACATCAATCTGCCCGTTTGCCTCCTCAAGTCAATTTGTGCGCTCACTCACAAGGCTGGGGAAAAAGTGCGCGGTGGCATTGCATCGGATGTGGAGCTGATGCTCGATGGCGTCATCAGCTGGTCCTGGCTAATGTCCTGGTTGGAGCAGTCGGCGCTTCGAGACGCCATTGAAGCGGGCCGCGTAGCTGCCCCAGAATATTGCAACATCAAGTATCCACGCTGCAAGTGGACAGCGCCCGAAGAACAACTCTTGCATTTGATGCACAATAATGTGCAATTTAAATAAATTTAGTAACTAAATCAATGGAACTAAGTTCGGGACATAGTGAATTGAAAATATATGCGATCTAGTGGCTAAAAAAAATATTTAAAAAACATAGTGGAACTATTAAAAATAATGCGGCCTTGTCCCAATTCAAATCCTATTAAAAAATATTTTAAAGAGCCAGACAGAACTGGTTCTCAGAAAACAAAAAACAATTGCCAAAAACAGTGAATCTCTTTTAAAATAATTTATTCAGTTACACATTACTTATATATATTAAGAATATTTGAATAGAAATTTGACCCATTGCTATTTTTAAAAAAATTGTATAAAATGCATGAGAAATATAATTACTTCAATTCATAAATAATTGCATAAAATCCTTCCTTTTTTGTGTTTAATTTAAGTTACAAATTATGTGAAACTAAAAACAGATTTTAATCCTTGAATAAGTTCTCTTGCCTTGGCACATCAAATATTTGGTAGATTATTGTGCCAAGCTCAGATCTCCGTTTGACTGCCTGTAAAAAAGATTTCAAATAAAAATTTTGTTTTGTTTTAACTGCATAATCAAATTTATTGTTCGATTAGTAAACTTAGCAAAACATACATGTGAAAGAACATTGAAATAAAGTTTAGACAGCAAATACATATTAATATAGAATATCTAACTAAATAGACAATTATTGGTGGAGGATGCTGAGGACACATCTAAATAATAAATGCTATTGCGCAAACAAAATACCAAATGATAAGCATTTTCAAGGCCTTCAAAAATATTTAAATTGACTCTTTGATGTATATTCAAAAATGGAGAGAAATGCACAGAGCTTAAATTAAAAAAAGACGAGCATAATTATTTGAAGTTGACAAAATCGATTACTTAGCTAATGTTAAATTAATATGTATCATTTGAAAGATCTAGCTTAAAACTGACTTATTTTAAACAGATTTTCTTATTTTTTTTATATTTTAATTATTTTTTTTTTTTGTTAAACATTTTGAAATAAACAATTTTTTTGATTTTCATGAAAGTTGTTCAAATTACAACAGCCACAACAAAATTTTTGAGCCTGTTACAAAATCTATGAATATTTTATGCTTTCATTTCTCTTTATTAGCTTAAAAATTAACTTATACTTAAATATGTAAAATTTCGTGTTTTTTTTTTTTTGTAGATTTTTCCATTTTGTGTGTTATTTTTTAACTAAATTACAAAAATGTTCATCTGTTCTAGGCAGTTTAAGGTGCTACAAAACTATTCAAAATGTGTTTAACCATTCCTGTTTTTGTTTGTGTGTTTTTGTCTTGTGGGTATTTTGTGGTTGGTGTTGGTGTTGGTGTTGTTTTCATAATTTAATCTTTACGCAAGGCTCAAAAATCAATCTTTTGGTTATGCTCTGATTTCAATCAAGATCTCTTCACTTTTGTTTCCGTCATTAAACGTAGTTTAAATGCCAATACTAAACAAAACCAAAATAATGCCTATGTTATAAAAAAAAAAATGCGATTCCTCCCCTCCAAAAAGTGCGCTTAGGGCATCTGCAAGCCGAGAACCTCCTCCAGTTGATTGTCGTTGAAATCATAGCCGCTCTCATTAATGTCGTAGACAGCGTCGCACAGATCCATCCAGGAGGAATTGCTTATCAGCGGGTTACTGCTGTCCATGAAGGATATGGAGGACCTGCGACTGGTCGCATTGCTGCCAATTATTGTCGAAGATAGCTCCTCAACATCCTCCTCCTGCTGCTGCGGCGGTGGTGCAGGCGGCACAGCAACTACCTCGCGTGGTACTTTCGCTGGCTCACCCGGTCTCAGTGACTTTTGCGGAGACTTGCCAGCGATTTCGACCAAGCTATTATCATCGATCCCACTGTCAGAGGAGGCATCCGTGTCGCAGGCGGTCAAAGCCGGTGGCTTCGAATCCTCCATGGAAATCACCGATCCGGGATCGCCCTCAAAGTTCTGGAAGACTGGCGACAGCTGTATATTGTTGCCATTTATCAGCGGATTATGCCGATAGTTTCGCAGCGCCGATGTCGTCGCCGTGGAACACTGCAGTGGCACTCTGTACTTGGAGGCCTGGTCCAAAACAAGACTAGGCGAAACCACGGGTTCCAAAGAGTTGTCGTCAATAATCATGGGCTCGACAGTATCTTCAGTGATTTTCACCTATTTCATTGGGAAGTGATGAAAAGAACACGAATTAGTTACACTTCACAAGTAATCGTATAAAAATAATCGAGATTATAAATTTATCGAAATGGTAATCTTTCCAATGCGCAATAATCGAGAGCTGGCAATATTTCAAATTATATTTAATAAACTGTTACTGAGCAGGTAAACAGTATTCTAAAACCGCATCGATAAAAGTAAAAAACTGACTTTCATCGATTGTATTCGATAAATGTATAATCACGGCCAAAAAAAGAAGAAGCAGTTGGTAGGTCTAGAAAAAAAGGGTTAATGTTTTTGGTTGGTCAACAGTCCGAAAAATGTATTTTTAACAATTTGTCTTGAAATATTTTCTCTATATGTAAATGGATCGATTTGGGTTATTTTTCTTATGACTACTCTACTTAATTCTAACTTAAATTCAGAAAATTTAGTCGTTGTAGTCCATTAATAGTTATGATTATATTTAATCGACTTGCTTAAATTTAAGTACAATCGTTGCTGCAAAATGTCACCTAAATTAAATAATTGATAGCTTTAATTGCTGGACAAGTAAGTTAAGTAGCCAACAGGCAGCTCATTAGAAGCCACAGTTAACCACCTCATTCATATTCAGAGGAAAAAGCGAGCGATTAGCAGATACCGACAATAATCAGAAGCAAGCCACAGCCCATTTCGAAATCCACTGAAAATTGAGAGTACACAAGTTTGAGGTCTAAGCCACAGACGCACACAAATATTTAAAGTCAAGAGACAGCCGTAGCTGTCTCCCACCACAGCCCCAAGGGGCAAAAGGATAAGGGGGAAGCGAACACTTGAGTCCATCAAGAAGTCGAGCGGCAAAAGGAGGTCGCCACAGCAGCTCCGCACCATAAATCATATTTTAATGATGGCCCAGCCGGAATTCGTTACACTGTAATAGAATATGACAATAGGGGGACGATGGACGAACAACAGAATATGATTATGCTATATATATTTGTAACAAAAACACAAAACACACAAAGCGGCGCAGGAAATCAAGCTTATATCAATCTCCAAGCGAGAGCCGGGGGAACGTGTTCAATAATGAGTGCCATGATGAAGAGAAACCCAAATCTAGGATGCTGGTGCAGCTTACGCTTAAACAGCAAATGGTCAAAGTTCAATTGCAGTTTATTGAACCAAGTCATTTGCTGTTTGCAATGCTTTCACAGCGCTAATTGCAGCGCTGTTTTGGCCATCAATAAGCGTGTCGGCGGCGGCGGCGGCAGCAACAAAAGCGAAAGTGCTGTAAATTGATCGATGTGCAAATATGGCCAAGACAAAGGGCCCAAATCTGTGGCAGGGAGTGGCAGCTGTCAGCACAGTTCAGACCAACAAATTTTTGCGTCACATCAGCAAAAGCAGCCAAAAGAAATCTCTGCCTCTCAGCGACACATTAACAGCTGGCTGCCAAGAAGCGCAGCAGCCAGCACATAGCATATAGAAACAGATACACAGATACACACACACACACACACACATTCCAGTTGACAATATGTGTTAGGGGAGAGAACGTGCTTGGCACGCGCCTACAGCCCCGGGCGCCAAATATATTTATGTGTGTAGGTGTTGTAGGTGCCTCACCGAGCCAACTTTCGATATGCCACAATAAATGACAAGCGTACAGTAATAGCTTTATTGTATGATATATTATTGGCGTGGCATCCGCCACCATATTGGGCTTACATTCATAAGCATAAGCATCAGCATCAGCATCAATATTGGCATTGGCATCGACCTAATATGCCACAACAATAAATTATTAAAGTCCAGAAAAGGCGCAGGTTTTAGGGCCGACAAGGGCATTACAATAATTGTTTCGTTATCCATGGGGAGATCTGCACACGCAGAACCAAAAATAACCAAAGCATTCTTGAAAGGATAGCGCATTCGTCGCGGATATCCTGTAATTAATTCATTAATATCATAACTCAAAATATCATGTGAACAAGTGTGGCTCTTAAGCGATATTTATCGATTTTGGGGGAGTCTTCGATAATTGCAATTTACTTTACCTGACATATGGTACACAAGAATCTATATACTCAATTTAGTTCAATTAGCTCTTACAATATACGTGAATTGCGTCCCCAAACTCAAAAAGTATAAATAGATATCGATTAATATCTTTAAAAAATTGTTGAAACTGCCAAAAATCTGACAACAAACTGGAATTATAGAAGAAGAAGAATTATAACAAAGATAATAATATAAAGCTCAAAAATAGATTTTTGGAAAATTGATGACACAAGTTTTTTCTTTGACTCCAAAATATATCTTCAATTTGGTTTAATAATATAAAAATCAAATAATTTCATGAGTCTGGAAATGCGATTAATGTAAAACATACCAAAATATATGTCTCAATTTTTGTATCTATCTATTTTACCTGAATAACGCTAAATATACATGTTTTTTGTGTTAAATTTAGTATCTCAATCTGCAAGAATAAATCAAAATGTATATCTTTAGCTGAGTCACCATCTTTGGAAATGATATCTGCTCTTGAATGAAACCCATCGAACAAAATTAGAACAGTTAACAGGTCTGAAGAGTTAATTGGCACACGTCAATAATAACGATATCTTTGCCCATTTTAAATGGCAACAGCTATTTAAAGCGAAATTTAATTGGTTTTCATATTCATTTGGCGACTTTTTGTTAGCAACGCCCCCAGTTCATTGACATTACGTGCCAAAATAAAATGAGTCACTTGGGCTCCTCTTTAAATGCACAGCAGAGCGCCAAGTAATTAAAGCCAGAAACTTTCTTGATAGGCGCCCCAAAAATGATGGCCCAAATCTGATGGCAAAAGTTGCTGCCTGCCTGCCTGCCTGCCTGCCTGCTGTTGCCTGATTCAGCTTGTGGGGGAAGGGAAAGGGAGGCTGGAAGGTGTCTGGGTTGAGTTTCAATTGCTGTTTTAAATTTGTGCTCGGCTTGCGTTTGACTTTGGCCACTCACGTTGCAAGTTGCGTAATTTGTGTGACAGGCTCCAGGGAATAAGACACACTTATCGCTGAAGCACAAGGCACGAGGCAAAAATTGGAAATTGATTTTACACAGTGGCAAAATTTGCAAAATTTTTTTTTGTATCTTTTTGCTGTTGTTGGCACTCACGAAAGGATTGATACACTTCAGAGATACCAATCAAAATCAATAAACAGCCAAGCAATTGAATGTGAAAATAATGCAGCGTATACGTAATATAAAAATAAAATATTAAATCTTGTCTCGCAATATATTAAAGTCAAAATACACACAGACACACACATATGCGCTTCTTAACTGCTTAAGTGTGTGTGTGTGCTTAGCATATTTAAGTGCGCTGCTTTTTGGCCTAAAAGCAAATGCCTCCGATGCGTATTGCTGGCAACAGCAAATAAATGGCGATTGGTTGTGATAAGAGCGTAAACTGAAGTTGGCCAACTTGATTAGGCACAAAATGCCAGGCAGCATCATTTATACCAATCAAAGATTTTTATAAATGGCCAAAATAGGCTTGAATGGTCCGCAGAGGCGGACAAGCGGCAAGGCATCGCAGTTGGGCAGATTAATCAAGTTTGAGCTCTCAATAAATATCTACGCTGGCAGGCAAATACAATAATATTTATGCACATAAATCTACACACAAAAATCAAAGTCGGCGAAGCGAAACTTTCGAATACCATCGAACCCACAATGAAAACACAAAATCATATTTAGTTTTTGTTGTTTTTTTGTTGTTTGTTGTTGTCGTTTTGTTTGTTTTTTTTTTTTAGCTGATTCGAGTTTGTTGCTCATTTTTCTGGCGTTTTGTTGTTGTTTGTAGTTTTTATTTTTGCTAAAATATTTATTAAAAGTTTATTAAAATACTTTCATAATCCATATCCATATATATCATATACATATATCGTATTGTTGTTGACGTTTTCTTTCTTTTTCTTTTTCTTTTTCATTTTCATTTTCTTTTTTTGTTTTTCTTTTTTCTTTAGTTACTAGAGTTCGGCTTGAGGGCACACATTCACATATGCATGTACATATATGCCTATTATGTAATATAATATTGCATACCTTGCGGCATTTATAGACTAAGTTTTATTCATTTTTGCATTCATATGAGAAATACTTATATATTCCATTTATTGGAGTCGAATTCAAGGCTAGTTAAATTTATGCTACGTTTTCTTTTCGTTTTTGTGTGTAAAATTTGACTTAGTTGGAGGTATTTCCGGTTAGTTTTTCGCATAACAAAATCAGTATAAAAAAAAGAAAATGGTGTCAGTTTTTTTCTTGTTGTGTGTCTATTTTTTGTTGTTGTTATTATTACACTAAGCAGCTTATCAGACAGACAAGGAACAAAGTGAAAATGCTGCCCTTTTTGTGGCCCCCCTCGAGAAATTTGTTGCCTTGGCAAATAAAAACTAATGCCGCATGAAAATTGCCTCTCATTTGCTTACGTAAAGCGTCGACACTTTGACAAATGAGCTGCTGCGTCTAATGAGGTGGGGTTTTTGGCCAAAAGGTTAGGCCCTACTATTTTTAGAGTAGTATGGCAGATATCTGACTCTCGTTTTAATGAAACTGTTGCTGCAGGACTATTTGCTTAGTTAATAATTTGCACCTAATTAATCAGTGAAAGCGGGCGTATGAGCAACATTTGTTGCAAAAACACTCAAAAGTAGTCAATTGAGCTCACCAATATAATCAACGAGCATTTGCGAGTGTATTTATTGTAAACAAAACTGACTTTCATGCGGGGCCATTAATCAAAATCGGAGCAACTGGCTGGCAGACGCGTGGCCCAAAATCAATTGGAGCGGACGGAAGGGGATGGAAGTGGGGGGGGTGAAAAGTGCTTTGTCAGCCTGGCGCGACTTGAGTTTTGATGAGTCAACAAATTGGCCAACACACGGATATGTAGCAAGCATGTTGTAACATGTCTGTTATTACTTTGTATGTAGAGTGTATATATATATATATGTAAGTAGGTATGT